GAGTGAGGGGCTGGATTCGAACCCGGATCATAGTGTAAGGCCTGGCTCCTTGCACAGCCTCCCAGTACGGGAATGCGCCTTTCAAATCGGTAACAGCTGGCTACGGTGGATCTGGTGCGATTACTATTACTGCTGTTTATTGTTAATTATAGCTGTGATGCCAAAGAACATCGTTGATTCTGCTCGGGCTCAGGCCTCCCCGCTGTCCGCGCGCCTTCGGTCCCGAAATCTCCCGGCCGGGGCGGCCCCGCGCGGCCGCGGCGGAAACGACAGCCCCCGGGTCGCGGGGCGGCCCTGCGGCGCCCCCTGGAGGCAGTGCTTGGCATCGCCGAAGAGACGATCTGAACCAGGCGACCTAAAATACTGGCGCCCGGTGGTCAGCCTGGGGCAGGCGGATGGCCCCAGATAGCGGTCCCAGGGGCAAGGAGAAAGGATGAAATGAAGAGAATAGCATTGAGCAAGTGCCACTTGTACATGGGGCAAGGTGCTGAGGCATTTCCTGCACATCTTCTCATTTAATACCCACCTAACCTCATTCACCAAAAGTGGAACCTGAGGTCCAGGGAAGGTAAGTCATTTGCCCAGCGACACAAAACAAGTCTGTGGCCATTCATTAGTGGAGACAGTGTATTGAATCTTGGGTGCCACCATTTCCTGCCTGTGTGACTTTGGTCAACTAGGTTGCTTAACCTCTCTAAGCCTCAGTTTCCCCATCAGTGAAGAACTTTATTACAGGCCCTCTGTGACAGGCCTGTTTTGAGAATTTACTGTGATCATACAGATAAAACGCCTGGCTTTCCCTCTGGCACGTAGGAGGGACTCAAGGAAATAGCTAATATTTACTCATTTGGCCACTATTTACTGAACACCTAGGGGCCGGGGATACAGCCACGAAGGAATTCAGATATTGTTCTTGCTTTAGTGACTTACTCGTCTTTGTGTCCCTAGGATTTAGCACATTGTCTGGCTTAATAAATGCTGAATGAATGAAGAGACATGCTGCAGTCAGTCTGTCCCTGGTTGCAGCTTCAGAGAGAATAAGAGTTCGGGGAAAGGGGAGTTTTGAAAATAATAATAGTTAATATTTCTTAGGCACTTGGTTAAATTATTGTTTTGCTCTTAGTTCATCCTCACAGCAAACCTGTGAGGTCAAAAGTGTTATCCAGTTTCACAGAGAAGAAAACAGTCTCCAAGAGGTGAAGTGACTTTTCTTAAGTCACGTAGCAAGTGCAGAGGTAGGTTTCAGGCTCTGGCCTGTTGGCTTGGATTCGTACCCCGGCTCTCTAGAAGCGGCGGGTTTGAGGGCCCTTCCAGGGCATCTCTGCACCACCCTTCTCCCCCCCTAGATGGTTTGCTGGAGCTCTTGGCACAAAGAAACTGAGCAGTGTGGCCTCCACCTGCATCAGTAATAATGTGGAATGTGCTACTCTCAGCTCGCAGAGCAACTTCATGTCCACTAGCTCATGTGCTCAGCCTCACATTTGCTTGCTTCTCACAACACTCCTGTGAAGAGAGATCAGCTGCCCATTTCGCTGACAGGGAGCTGAGGTTCAGGGAGGTGGCTTCCCAGGGTCATATAGGACCTGTTGTAGGGTATGGCGGAGGCTGCTGCCAAGGCTGCCTCCCCTGCCGCCCCCGGCGCCTCTCCACTTCCCGGCTCATCACCCCTTTCTTCCCCATGCATGTCCACTGACTCAGCCCACTCCCTGCTCCATCCTCCCAGCCATGACGGTACCTACAGTTCTAAGACTAAGGTGGGCTAAGAGGGACCCCTCGAGTGAGGATGGTGTCTGCAGTGGTGGCTGGGAGGTCACTTTTCGCCCAGAATAGAATAGAATCTGTTCACAACTTTTCTGATTCTGTTTTTGGTGGGGATTTAGAGAGCCTCCCCAAATTTTCTGGCTAGGGCCCAGCTTTCCTGGGTTCAGTCCTTACCTTGGGGTCTCAGTAGAAAACAGGGGCAAAGTGTTTGCCGGAAGAGGGTTTACTGGGAATATTCAGAGGTGTGGGCGGGAATGGTGCCGCCCCTGGGGCTTGCCACAGTGGGATGGAGTGAAGGGGGCAAGACCCCTGGGCCTGAAGGGGTAAGGGGTGGGAGGCTTGTTAATGAACCTGGCCAGAGCTGTATTCACAGGTGCAGGCCACTCAATGGGAGCTGTGGCTTCCAGGAAAGGAACCTAGTACGTGCCAAAATCACAGAGGGGTGAGAGGCATAAATAATATCCTGATCTCACTCTCCTTCCTTCCCTAACCTCCTACCAGTGTCTCCTATTGGTCAAACCCCACCTGACGCCAGAAGGTAAGGGGACCCAGGAACACAAGGGCTGAAAAGTGCTGAGAATGAAGGCTAGGTAGCGGGTTGTCAGCCCAGGGGCTTCTCTCCTCTTTTGGATTTGGCTTTGTGGAGGGGCTGAGAGATAAAAGGGTTGTGTTCGTATTTCAAAGCACAGTCTATGCCTGACTCCAAAACACCCTTTCTCCTCCTTCCCGGCCACGTTACTTGGTCCATGGGGCCATCACCAGTCCTGGAGTTAATCTCTCCCATCCCTCCCTGCTTTCCTGGTTCTCAATGCTTATCACATCACTCGGCCCAGTGATTTGGCATTATTCTCTGCGTAGGTTTGTCTCCCCAGGAGACAATTCTAGCTTCCTCTACACTGAGAGCTTCTTGCAGGCCTGGGCCAAATAAGGCCATTTGCTCTGATACAGGGCCCAGCACAGACCAAGTGCCAATGTTTGCCAAGTGAGCTGGATCCTTTGGCCTCACTTACCTCCCTCTGTCTTGGTATGTGCAATCTGGCACATGCTACTTGGTGGTGAGTGGGCCAGGCCTGGCCCGCAGCAGGCATCAAATGTTGCCTGCATTGGCCTAAGTAAGACCATCTTTCTTTCCTTCCTTCCTTCAACAATTTTTTTTAGGTCCTATGTGCTAGGTCCTATGTTGGGCCCTGAGGACACAGCAGTAAACAAGACACATAAAGTCTCTGCCTTTGTGGGGCTTCCACTCTAGCAGGGGAAGCATAGGTGGAAAGAAGTGAAAATGAACAATAATGTTGCCGGTTGTGATAAGTGCTAACAGAAATAAACAGAGCAAGGAGATAAACAATCATGAGTGGACATGACGGGGGCTGTCAGGGAAGGCTTCTTTGCAGAGATGACTTGTGAGCCAAGACCTGAAGGATAAAAGACGCTGGGATGGGAAGAGCTGGCAAGGGTGTTCCAGGCAGAAGGAACAGCCAGAACAAAATCCTGGAGGTGGGGGGTTTTCTGGGACTCTGGGGGATTCAGTGTTTTGGCCTAAAGAAGGGCTTATGGGAGGCTAGGAAGGGTTAAGAAATTCAGTCTTGGGGGACTGCCCAGGGCCAGCTCTTGGACTGAGGGTTGGAGGGAAAGGACAGCCCTTCTGAATGCCACCCTTGCTGCCTGTTGCTTAGCACCCACAGCAAACAGAGCTGCTGGCGGCCTTGCCCTTGCTCCCTTAGCTCCCCTCTGACTGGCAGCAGATGTCAAAGGACCCGTGGCTGAGGCTTTGCCAGCCTCCTCCCCTGGGATATTTCAGGGGTAAGTCAGAAAATGACCAGCAGCCTCCAAAACCTGACTTTTTCCTCATGCATACCTTACAAGGGTGTATTTGGCTGCCCAGGGTGCTAAATCTTCCACCCCCTTGCATGAGACAAAGAGATATAAATATACAACCACAGGCGGCACACTCACATACATGGATGAATGAATACTCAGCCCTCAAACACAGGCACACGATCACACACAGGAGCATACACATGGCCCACAAACACAGTCATGGGAGCCAGCCCCACACACAGTCACACTCCACAATGGGTACAATCACCACACACATTGATCCTGAGATCATACAATCACAAGTCCACATGCCCACACACAGAGATGGGCATGCAACACCACAATCTCCTCCCCATACACCACACCCCAAACCATGATCATATGTTCCTACTGCCAGCCGTGAGCCCACTGATCACAACACACAAGCCCACATACACTCAACACCATTGCACGATTACCCCACCCCCACGCCCAGCTCAGGGCCTCTCAGATTAAACCGAAGGTCCCGGCTCTGGGGCTTGTTGCAGTGCACGGCATTCTTCTGCGATTGAGTCAAAGACCTCCCCAGACACAGGGGCTAAGTGGAAAAAAGGAATCAGAGGAGAGAATGTCTGGGGCCCAGGTCTGGGAAGAGGCCCAGCAGCCTGTCCTCACTTGGAGAGAAAGACCTCAGTGTTGAAGTCTGACCCTGACACTGGTGGGCTGAGGACTTGGGGGAGGGGCTATGCTTTGAAGTTGACCGAAGCCAGGCTGAGTAGGGGTGACAGGTGGAGCCAGGGAGAGACCCCAGGAAACCTCCAAGGGTGGGGCAGAAAGTTAAACATGGACTCAACCTTATAGATATAAACCCTTCTGCTGTCCTCCCACTGTCCTTCCCTAAGCCTAGCCAAGCCCCTGGGCCCTAGGCTGACCCCAAACACACGGGGTGTGGCCATTGAGCCGCGCCCTGCCTCACCCCTTCACTACAGCTGCGGGGCACAGCGCTGGGAGCGCCCGGAAGGTGGCCGTTCTCCCCCGCCCGCACAGGTGGGGGTCGGAGGGCGCCGAGCTGCGGCGGACACTCCCAGACACTTGGGGGCGAGGGGTGCTGGGTCCCTCTGAGCATCCCGCCCCACTCCCATGGCTGTTCTGGGAAGTGCTCTCTTGGGGCTGCAGAGCGCCCTTCTTCCCCTTCCCCTGCAACCGGGATCCCGGGAGAGGGAGGGCGGAGGGAAGGAAGGTTCGGGAAGATCTTGGGCTGGCTGGTTTTGGAAAGGCCGCCAAGCCGCTTTCCACCCCCACCCCTACCTCTCCGTCACCCCCACCCCTACCCCTGCGGGTCCTGGGAGGGGCGGCCTTTCCCCGCCCCCAGGGCCGCGCGGCCGCTCCCTCCTCCCGCGGCGGGAGCCCGGGCCAAGTGGGCGCGCCCGGCCCAGGGCCGGCCGGGATCCGGTGTCGCCTGCAGCTGGCAGTGCGGCGGGCGCGGGCGCCGGAGCGAGCGGCCCGCGGGGCCGGCTATTAATAACGCGGCGGCCGAGCCCGGGGTCGCGCAGCCATGGCTAGCCCGGAGCCCCGGCGAGGCGGGGACAGCACCGCCCAGGCCGCGAGGTAGGACCGTCCGGGGCCCGCGTCGCCGCCCCTTTTGGGAGGGGGTGCTGGACGTGTTCCCTTCCCCCACCCGCCAGCACCTTTCGCCCGGCTGGAGGGTAGTGGTCCAGCCGGGTGGGGCCCGGGGCGGAGCCACCTAGTGAAGGGAGTTGGGGGAGTCCAGGCAGGGGTCCTGGCATCTCCTTTTGTCTGTGGCTTTTCATAACATCCCTTCCCCTACTGCGGGCTGTGTGAGAATTAACCCTTTCAGGCTAGTGGGCATCAACCACTCAAATGCCATTTGGCCCATAGTGACCAGAGACACTACTCGGGTTTTTCCTTCATGGTTTGCTCCAAATGTCAGCTGGAGACGGAGGCCTCCCCGTTGCTGAATTCGCTGTGTGGACTTGGTGCAAGGTTGGGCATCTGCCAGCCTGAAGTTAAGAGTCTGCTCAAGCAGCTTGTTCTCCCCTGTGTGGCCTGGGATGGGGGTAGGGGGAGGACCCACTGTCCCAGCCGAGCAGGAGGGCCCTGGCTGGGCAGGGCAGTGGAGCAGGGCCCTCTCTGTCTATCCACACGCCAGCTTAGCACAGGTTAGGGGAAGGGACCTGTGGCTGAGGCTTTTGGGGGGAGGGGGGAGTATTTCTGCTCCAGGTCAGACTGTGGCCCTGGGACTTCCCAGTGTCCCAAGATTTGGAGGTGCAAATACACACCTCCTGACATGCCTTCACTGTCACACAAGGGTGCAAAGCTGAGCACTGTCTTACACATGTACGTGCCTGTACTGCCATCCACGAATACAGGTACACACAGAGTCAGACACTGGACTCTTGCCTGCACTGTGTCACACACACTCCCAGCCACAGTCCTGATGGACAGGGTTGGGGAGCTGGTAGGGTCCTCTGGGGACAGGGACAGAGTGGCAGAGCAGACTGCCTGGGGCCCAAGGAAGCCTGAGCTCGCTGTCTTTCCCCTTGGCCTCCCCTAATCTGCCTCTTTCCCTCTTCTCTCTTGGAGAGGCAGCTGCGTGAGGGCAGCGCCCAGCAGAGGCCTGGCACTGTGGGCGGGTGACAGAGGCAACACGGTGTGTGGCAACAGCACTGCCTGGAAGTCAGGAGGCCTGGCTTCCACTTCTAGCTTTGTCGCTCACCCCTGGGCAGATTTCCTCCTTGGAGCCCAGTGGGTCTCTGCCTTCCTTACAGAGCGGATGGCGGCTCTGCTTGTCCCCAGGCAGTTCACTCTCGGGGAGACAGACACACGCGCTTCTGTGAAGCGGGGCGCCAAGTGTGAAGACGTGCGTGCTGCACACAGAGTGCCCGAGAAGGGCGGTGGCACTGTGCTGGGAAACTCTCCACAGAGGAGATGGAGTTTGAGCGGGGCCTGAAGGATGAGTAGAATTTGTTAGGTCAACCAATGGAAGTGTATCCTGATAGCTGTGTGCCGAGCTCTTTTCCTGTGCCGTAGTTACCGCTTGGCGACCTCACTCGTGCCCTAGGAGGAGAACGGTAAACACCCTGCCTGCTCCGGGCTCCAGGGCTTCCACGAGGTGTGGAACCTCCAGTGGGTTCTTTGCTCTGTGCTTTGGCTTCCTGCCCTATAAAATGGGGATAATAGATGAGCATTCTCTAAACGAGTATTCATGTAAAATGCTTAGAAGAGAGCCTTGAAAACAGGTGAAGTTATTCCAAGGTGGGAGGTTCGGCAGGAGCATGACAGAGGGCCGTCCGCTGGGGACGCGGGGACTCTGTTGAGGGTCAGAGTGGGTCTGGCTGGCTGAGCAGGTGCATCCTTCCTGGCACTAGGAGCTCTACCTTCCCAGGTGGTACAGGGCTGTTCTCTGGTCAGGTGGTGTTCAAGAAGTTGCATTTCTCAGCTGCACATTGTGGGCTGAGAGTAGGAGGTATAAAAAGTTAACAAAAGCTCTGGGTTGCCAAGCATTGGGTGGCTTGCAGGAGTAATGTGAGATGAGACTAAAAAAGGTATGTTGGTGCCACATCTTTAGGACCTTGAAACCATGCTTAGCAGTTTGGCTATTTATGGGTGAAGTGGAGCAACATGGCTCCCTTTATGTTGTAGCAAGCTAAATGTGGCACTGTGGAGAATAGATTGGAGTGATGGTTGGTGCGGTGGCTCACACCTGTAATCCTAGAACTCTGGGAGGCTGAGTTGGGAGGATCGCTTGAGATCAGGAGTGCAAGACCAGCCTGAGCAAGAGTGAGACCTGGTCTCTACTAAAATAGAAAAAATTAGCCGGGTGTGGTGGTGTGCGCCTGTAGGCCTAGCTACTCAGGAGGCTGAAGCAAGAGTATGGGTTGAGGAGTTTGAGGTTGTAGTGAGCTATGATGATGTTACAGCACTCTAGTCCAGGCAACAGAGTGAGACTCTGTCTTAAAAAAAAAGAGGGGCTGGGCGTGGTGGCTCACGCCTGTAATCCTAGCACACTGGGATGCTGAGGCTGGCGAATCACTTAAGGTCAGGAGTTCCAAACCAGCCTGAGCAAGAGACCCCATCTTGACTAAAAATAGAAATTAATTGGACAACTAAAAATATATAGAAAAAAATTAGTCGGGCATAGTGGCGCATACCTGTAGTCCCAGCTACTCGAGAGGCTGAGGCAGGAGGATCGCTTGAGCCCAGGAGTTTGAGGTTGCTGTGAGCTAGGCTGACGCCACGGCACTCACTCTAGCCTGGGCAACAAAGTGAGACTCTGTCTCAAAAAAAAAAAAAAAAAAAAAAGAATATGCTGGGAGGGAACCTTGGCTGCCGCAACAGCAGCGTTGTGTCCAGAGACTTCACTGCTCAGAGCACACCTCGGGGACAACTTTCAATATCCATTCCCCAAGTCAGTGATAATCTGGGCCTGGTCAGAAGTGAGCAAATATACAGCTCTTAACATATGTTAAAAAAAAAAAGAAGTGAGCAAATTAGGAGGATACTGGAAACCTTGGCATGTGTGGAATAATTGAAAGATAAGTTAGTTATCTTTAAGTGTTTAAGGAACTTACAGGAAAAAGAAGTCATAATTGTCTAGAATCCAGCGGTAAAGATTGCAAGGAAGAAGGTTTTGCCTCAACATTAGAATTTTATTATGACTGTGGAACAAACAGTGGTGCCTCAGGTGACTTTCCTGTCCTCGAAGGAAGCAGAGACTAGAAAGTGGTGTGAGGATGTCATCGGGGAGCCTCACAATGGACTGTGTGTGTATGTGTGTGGAGGGGTCACATCTACAGAGGGGAGGGAGCAGACAAGTGACCGCTGAGATCTGAGAACCTGATGCCATAAGGGCCTGGGGCTACTGGCACCAGTCACCAACCATCCTGGGATTGTGCCTGTCCTTTCATTTTCCGTCATTTCTCTTGCAGGGAAACAAGAGCAGAGACTAATTCTCCTCTTGAAGAGAACTCTGAATCCCTGAACGAGGCAGAGACCTTGAACCCAGAAGTTATTCTATCTTTGGAGGGGACCTTGAACCTAGAAGACATTCTCTACCTGGACGACACAGGTGACTTTGACGAGACACTCTCTGTGGAAGAGACTGAGAAGCCGGAGGAGACACTGTACATTGAGGAGCCCAGGCAGCCGGGTGACGAGACGGTGCACGCCGAGGAGCCATGTACCCTGAATCCGGAGGAGACGCTGAACGTGGAGGAAACTGTGGAGCCAGAGGAGGCACAGTTTGTGGAGGAGCCCGTGGAGCCAGGAAAGCCTACGATCCCAGAGCAGGTTGTCTATGGGGCAGAGACAGTCACAAGGGAGGAGAAACCTAACCCCGAGGAGAGCCTCAGAGCCGAGCCGAGCCCCAGCACGGAGGAGAACCTGAGCCTGGAGGACCTGGAATTGCTGGAGGGGCGATTCCAGCAGTGCGTCCAAGCCGTGGCCCAGCTGGAAGAGGAGAGGGATCAGCTCATCCACGAGCTCGTGTTGCTCCGGGAACCGGCCCTGCAGGAGGTGCAGCAGGTCCACCAGGACATCCTGGCTGCCTACAAGCTGCATGCCCAAGCAGAGCTGGAGCGGGACGGGCTGAGGGAGGAGATCCGGCTGGTCAAGCAGAAGCTGTTCAAGGTGACGAAGGAGTGTGTGGCCTACCAATACCAGCTGGAGTGCCGCCAGCAGGACGTGGCTCAGGTCGCCGAGTTCCGGGAAGTGCTGACTACGCGGGCAGCCCAGCTCTCGGAGGAACTGGCCCAGCTACGGGAGGCCTATCAGAAGCAGAAGGACCAGCTTCGACAACAACTCGAAGCACCCCCAAGTCAGAGCGATGGGCACTTTCTCCAGGAGAGCCGGCGACTCTCTGCCCAGTTTGAAAACCTCATGGCAGAGAGCCGCCAGGGCCTGGAGGAGGAGTATGAGCCTCAGCTGCTGCGGCTCCTAGAGAGGAAAGAGGCTGGGACCAAAGCTCTGCAGAAAACCCAGGCGGAGGTCCAGGAGATGAAGGAGGCCCTGAGACCCTTGCAAGCTGAGGCCCGGCAGCTTCAACTGCAAAACAGGAACCTGGAGGACCAGATCGCACTTGTGAGGCAAAAACGAGACGAAGAGGTTCAGCAATACAGGGTAGGCCCATTGGGCATGAAAGGAACTGAGGTCTTTTAACCTGGGGAAGGGAAGGTGACCAGAGTCCAGTGTCTTTGGGGCTGAAGGCTACTGTCACATGTAGGAAGAACAACTTGTTCTTTGGGGCCATTCACTCACTTCTTTCCTCCATTCTTCATTCATTCGGGCCTGTGGTAGGCGTTGAAAGTCATCTGCACTCTTAGTTTGCAAAGCATTTTTGCACAAGTTAGGTGTTCTTCACAATAATCCTGCAAGTTGAGTATTCTCATGTTTCATACGAGGAAACTGAGGCTCAGCGAGTTGTAGTAGTTTGAACTCTGGTCTACCCAACCCCAAATATTTCAGTGCTCTTTCCGAGAAACCATTGTCTACTTCTTACTGGAGAGTGAGTCACACTTGGGTATATATAGAGCAGCAGGGAATGAGGCTAGATGGAATGACTCCATTCCCTTCTCTCCACCTCACATTTATCCTGCAAATCCTACCTATCCAATCTCTACCTTAAAGTCTTCCGGTTTTTAGACTAGGATGAAATCTACAAATCTCTACTCTTCATTTTCCTTTTCTGTGCATTTGCCACCATCTTCCTTGTATTCAAATCATTTCTGATTAAGTGTGAGCCATTCTAATCCCTTTTTAGAACATAGTGGGATATAAATACTAAATGCATAAACAATTACGTCGTCTCTCCCACAGACTGTGAGCTTGCAGAAGGTAAGGAGTATGTTTTATTTATCTCTGTTTTATTCTGTGCCACTCATGGCTCAGAGCACACCTCAGTTAAGTGCTGAGTTAAGTGCTGCTGGGCACTCTGAGAAGACTACAGTGTGATGCTTTAGGCAATATTTTTGTCTTTTGAAACTTATACTCCTTTGGATAAATTTAAAAATCTATGCCCTCCCAGATATTCTTTTTCCAAATATTTTTCCTCTTATGCCTGCAGGTGTCTCTTCTAGAGATAATGATAGTTTCAGCCTCTCATGTTGAAAGCTGTCCTCAAAGGTGTGTTCATATTTACCTATTAAAAAGGTCTTCAGGCTGAGGAACCTTGGCTGACCGCAACAGCAGCGTTGTGTCCAGGAGACTTCACTGCTCAGAGCACACCTCGGGGACAACTTTCAATACCCATTCCCCAGTCAGTGATAATCTGGGCCTGGTCAGAGTGAGCAATTAGAGGTACTGGAAACCTTGGCAGTGTGGAATAATTGAAAGATAAGTTAGTTATCTTTAAGTGTTTAAGGAACTTACAGGAAAAGAAGTCATAATTGTCTAGAAATCCAGCGGGTAAAGATTGCAAGGAAGAAGGTTTTGCCTCAACATTAGAATTTATTATGAGGCATGGTGGCGCATGCCTATAGTCCAGCTACTCAGGAGGCTGAGGCAGGAGGATTGCTTGAGCCCAAAGTTTGAGGTTGCTGTTGAGCTAGGTGACGCCATGGCACTCACTCTAGCCTGGGCAACAAAGCAAGACTCTGTCTCAAAAAAAATAAAATAGCTATAAGTGAATGCTTGGAAAATCAATGATGGGACCCCCCAGCCTCCGTTGCCCTCTGCCTAGAACACTGGAAGTCAGGGATGTTCCTCCTGCTCAGCGGATGGAAAATTCATCCTTGGAGGAACTGTAAGTCCCCAGAGAAAACACCTTCAGACATTTTCCCAAAGGAAAAATCAACTTTCTGCTGCTTTATCACATCCTGAAGCCCCCCACTCAGCAGGCTCTATCCTTGCTCACAGGCTGGCCAGCCAATTTGAAGACCTTTTTTTTTTTTTTAATTTTTTTTTTTTTTTTTGAGACAGAGTCTCGCTTTGTTGCCTAAGCTAGAGTGAGTGCTGTGGCGTCAGCCTCAGCTCACAGCAACCTCAAACTCCTGGGCTCAACGATCACTAACCTGCGCACATCAGACTCGTCACACCATGAGAAGTAGCTAGTCCTTTGACATGCAGGGCACTGTGACCATCGGGGGAGAAAATTGTGCACCCGAGCTAAAGTTTTATCTTTTTATATCCATCCGATAAATAGGTGTATATATTAGTGTTGAGCCCAATTTAGATATTCTTTCCCATTTAAGAACTCTCAATTGGTAATCATCAAGGAAAATCAAGAACAGATCAGCTAGAGGAATTTTTCTATATATATTAGTTGGCCAATTAATTTCTTTCTATTTATAGTAGAGATGGGGTCTTGCTCTTGCTCAGGCTGGTTTCGATCTCCTGACCTCGAGCAATCCGCCTGTCTCGGCCTCCCAGAGTGCTAGGATTACAGGCGTGAGCCACTGCGCCTGGCCTCATAGCTATTTTAAACCCAAATCTCATCTTTGTCTTCCACAGTGTCCTGTGTCTGAAGCCTCTCAAATTTAGATTTTGAAGAAAATAGTTCTTCCCCTGAAACAGAGCACTGGGAATAAGACTGTCACCAAGAAGAGCAGGGTGGTGGGGGGGGACTGTCACACAGATTCATCATTCCCTTGCCCCCTCCCCTTTTGCTCTGTACCTGGTTCCTATGGAGCAAAAATCTGGGTCAAAGTGGGATACAGTGGATCAAGAGCTGCTGTGCTTTGGGAAAAGCTGTGTAGGATAAGCCTTGAGTTGAGTGGAATGTGTTTTTTACGGAATAAAGGAAAAGCTAAGGAGGAAAAAACCAAGTGGAGTAAGCGAGGCCAGCCCAAAGGGCTCTGGCTCAAAGGTGCAGGCAAAGCTCCTTGGGGAAGCCAATGTGGCTGGAAATAAATGGTAGATGCAGACAAAAGGGAGCATTCCACACAGAGAAAGTGGCTTAGGGGATTTGTTTCAAGAAGTTGTCAATCTCCAGCACAGGCTCTTTGTTGGTAACTCGGGAACTGAGAAGATTTGCACTAAGACACTTTAAGAAACCCAGGAGTCAAAGAGGGTGCTTTTATGGACACACGAGTCTGTAGGAGGTGGCTTTGGCTTGGAGCAAGAACAGCTGTAGACGTATAAAATGGGAAAGGAACCGTTAGGGTTTTGCTCCTGCCCCCAACCCTCTGGTCCAGGTATCCTCAAGAATAAAATCGGACTATGCAGAAGTTGAATGTGGATAAGGAGCTGAAAAAAATCTAGGTTGAAACTAAAAACCTTCAGCCTCCTCACCCCTCCTCCTCCAACCCCCAGGGCTGGGAATTACATTCTAAAGAGCATCTCTTCCTAATACTGCCTCTCTCGGGAGGGCTTCAGTCAAACCCTACCTTGAGGAGCCGTTCTTCAGAGTGAGGAGCTTCAGCACCAAGAGCTATTCATTCACCCCTCCTCCCTGCACTCCATGGAACGCTGGTGACTCCCAGAGATTTGGATATACCCTTAAGGGGATGGGTCCCCTGTTGAATTCACTGCTGCATTCACTTCTCTGAAAACTTTGTCAAGCTTTCTGTAGTCTATAGTATGAAAACAGTGAGACTGGGCGCAGTGGCTCATGCGTGTAATCCTAGTATTTTGGGAGGCAAAGGCGGGAGGATTGTTTGAGCCCAGGAGTTGGAGGCTGCCATGAGCTATGATCATATTACTGCACTTCAGCTTGGGAGACAGAGCAAGATTCTGGCTCTTAAAAAAAAAAAAAGAAAACACCGTGGGGTTTTGTCATAATATTGAATGTTTTCAAGCTATGCATACTACCCTTACCACCCAACATCCTCCCCCCATTTTTTTATTGGTTCAGTCTAGTGAAAGGGCACTTATTTATTTAGCATAAATACTGTCCTTAACAGCTAATACGCAAATAGACATTAATAACTCTAAGTCAGGGTAGAACGTAATATGTGATTTAAGAGAGGTACAGGTAAGAGGGTTATGGGATAATGAAATTATTTTTAGCCATTGGTTAAATCAGAGAACTTTTCATGGAAAAAGAGGTAAAATTTGAGTTAGGTATTATGCTGTCCAACAGAAATATAATGCAAGCCACATCAAAAAAGTAAAGAAGGGCCAGTTGCTCAGGCTAGAGTGAGTGCCATGGCGTCAGCCTAGCTCACAGCAACCTCAAACTCCTGGCTCAAGAGATCCTCCTGCCTTGGCCTCCCAGAGTGCTAGGATTAGAGGCGTGAGCCACCACGCTCGGCCCTGAAACACTTTTTTTAAAGAAAGGTATCACTATGTTGACCCAGGTTAGGGTACAGTAGCTATTCACAGATGCAATCATAGCACACCATAGTTCAAACTCCTGGCTTAAGCAATCCTCCTGCCTCACCTTCTCGAGTAGATGGGACTATAGGTGTGCCGCTGCATCCAGCTACTACCAAACACTCTTGATGTGAGCTTCTCCCATTGCTATACCATAATTAAAGTAGGAATCAAGGTCGGAAGGACCTAATCCTTTTTTCTGAAATGGCTTCCTAAACTGTTTGCCAAAGGTCTCCTATTTCATCTGATTACAAGTGTGCCCTTTTAATCTTTAGGCTGCACTCCACTCTTACAAAGTTTGCCTCTGTCATTACCTTCATCATCTATTCCAGGGGTCCTCAAACTTTTTAAACAGGGGGCCAGTTCACTGTCCCTCAGACCGTTGCGGGCCCGACTATAGTGTTAAAAAATAAACTATGAGACAATTCCTGGTGCACACTGGGTGGCACATACTTATTTGAAAATAAACAAAACAAACGGGCAAAAACACCCACATGTGGCCCCATGGGCCAGTTTGGGACCCGATCTTATTCATCTCCAACATAGTTTCTCTTTTTTCTTTCTTTTTAAATTTTCTTTTTGGCGGCCGAAAGAGAGAGAGCGGCACGTCGGGTCCGGCTGAGTAGCGAGGTGCGGGGCTACGAGGGGGGGTTTGGGAAGCCGGAGGGCTGCGGGGGCCCAGACCACTAGGACTCATCCCGCGTCAGCATAGCTTCTTAGTGCCCTACTTGTGGCCAGCCATGACTAGTGCTGGCAACAGAGATGAGAAATTGTGTGTGTGGGTTCACTCATGCATGCTTCTTCCCTCAAATAGGCTGCAGTCCAAAGATACCAGATAAAATGAACTTTTTGTTTTTTTAGACAGACCC